TAGGCACATATTTTGTGCAATGTAAGAGACAGGATCTTAACGTAAAAATCGATATTATTTTTTTAAAGTCAATAATCTACAAAGCCGATCAAAAATCGACAAATTAACTTCTTTCCTCTGATTTCGTTCAAATTGGGTATGTAAGTTACTTACATCATGACGAGATCAGCGATACATTTTTTTTGTTTCTACGTCACTGCGTTTAGCAAAAAATCGGGAAAAAAAAAACTGATTTCAGCACAAATCGATTTCAACACAAATTTTAAACTAAAAACTTATTCAGTTTTCAAGGATTCAAATACAAACTTCACTCAATTGTAGTCAGCAATAAGTTGATTGTTTAATACTCATTTAACTTGATAACTGTGCCGACCCATATACTGAAAACCCGCATATGTAGCGAAAAATCGCTATTTTTACTGGTTTCTTTCTTAATTTTCGTTGATCTTTCAACCAATTTTCCTCAAACTTAACAATTGCTTTGACTTCTTTCACATCCCTGGTAGCACACTGACATATTGTATTTCAAAAATTCCAAAATAATAGTGCTCTGAAGTGGGTCTTTAAGTTTCCTGATTTACCCCCTTCATGTCCACGGCTAACATCAATTGAATAAATACAGACTACTTCTTTTATATCAGTAACTGCATTATTTCAAAATGTTTTTTTTTAATTTAAGTACTTTAAAGTAATTGCAGAAGATAAACTCTATTACATCTAAACATGATGCTGTTTTTGCTCCATTCTAATTGAACTCTTTTTCTGATCGACCAGCTTGGTATGGCTGCTGCTGCTAATAACAAAAATGATAATAATAATAATAATAATCAAATCAGTAATAAAGGAATTTCAAAATGGAGTTTCAAGTGGGTAATCATAATACACCGACTGAAGCTGCAAAGTACATTTTAAAAAAGCAAAGGCAAATGTTACCAACCAGATACAGAAACGATGACAAGATAAACCGCTTCACGGCCAATACTCTATCCGTACCTAACAAGGTGATATAAACAAACCCCGACCACATCAGTGTCTACATAGTGCAGTGTTAAAAGTTGAAACTGTAGGTTGTATTTTTGCTGCATAGTACCAATGTTTGTTAACTAGAAATTACCAAACACACATATAGAAAAATTGTGTTAGTCCAAAAGCAGATTCTGTAAGAAATATCACGAAACACTTGGTCATCTTGCATCAGGTCGCGACATATTGTCACCTATTGAATATAAAACAAGGCACGACAGAGTAGGCCAAAAAATTAAAATATAAGGACATTGAAATCGAAATCTCAAAAATGTGACGCATGAGGACATTAAAAATCCCCGTTGTAGTCGGAACCCACATATTGATTAGAAAAAATTCCAACAGACTCATTGAAGGAATTCCTGGTAGCCCATACCTTAAAGAAATCTTTAAAAAACACTCAGAAATACAGCCCACACCTTAAGAAGCGCTTTGCATATTTAAAATATGTGCGATTTTATTCAAAACTGTGCAGTGGAAAATGCCATGGTGCCATTTTTGACCTTAGGTCGGGAATCGGAAAGTAATGAGTATACAACAGAAACCAAAGGAAATAATAATAATAATAATAATAATAATAATAATAATAATAATAATAATAATAATATACTTTGACACTTTGATAATTAGTACAACAGTTTTTCTCAAGATAAGCGACGTTTGTACAAGGACGTATATTATATTTATTATACTTGTATGCAATTTTTATACAAGTTGAAGAAGACATTATAAAACAGTGTTAAACATTATTAAATGCTGTTTTCTTTTCATTTTCTTTTCTTAAATCGCGCTCTTCTCTAAGTGTTGTAATAATAATAATAATAATAATAATAATAATAAATGTCCTATTGTTACACTCGGCATAGATCTCTAAGCTTCTGAAGTTAAGTGACTGAATTTGTTAACATATACATGTTTTGTTCACACTAAATTTAGGTACCTCCACTATTTCGGCATAAATATTCAATACCTAAAGTTTAAAATGAATTTTTAAAAATGAAAAAATTCTTGAAGATTTAATTTTAGCTTTAATTGAATGCTAAATGATTAAATTTATTATTCCCATTAAGTAAAATATTCTGGTGTATTTCATATATATATATATATAGATTGGAATGTTAAATTTAATTTCGATGGCTTAAAATTTTCTTAAAGGCGGCCATTTTCTTAATTTTAAGAGATTTGTAAACAAAAAAAAATATCGATTTTAAAATTCTTTCAAAAATTACATATATATTTCTGACACGTTCTTTGAGTAAAATTAGAAAATTTAAAGTTAAATTAATCTGATTTGAAATAAATATTACTTACTTATAGAATAAAAAAAATAAAATACAACCATTTATTTAATGATTGGTTCTGCTTATCATAGCATATCAGAGGCGATAATGGATGGCAGATTGAGTGACGAAGTGATGGCAGCTAATATGGGTGGCTAGAAATTTAAGTTAATTCATTTTTGGGGGATTTTTAACTACCTAATAATTTTTACAAATAATTTTCCGAAATTATAATTATAGTATATAATTATTATTAATTATAATAATTTATTGACTTTTATTTATCTTTCGAAGATGCTTTATAAATAAAAAATATTAAAATATGATAAAACTTTCTTAAATTAATTTCTCTATAAAGAGACAAAACTCTTAGATCACGTGACCGTTTCATAATAATGTCATGTTTAGACGTTCAGAGATGAAAATAGTGAACAAATAAAGTAAAGAAAAATAAGATATAAAAAATTATTTTCAAAATAGAATAGCGAAAATACGTTTATTAATGATAATTACGTTTTATGATTCGTAAATTTCGTTTCCACTTAATTAATCTGTATCATTCAGGAAATAGCTCAATACATAAATTTACACGATTTAAACTATTATAAATTATTATAATTAAAATAAAAAAAATGAAAAAAAAAATATTGTAAAAATTCATTATTCATCGAAAACAAAATTTCTTCAGACAATAATTTCCCTAATACAACATATTTACAAAAGCAATTAAAAGCTTTTCTAATTAAATAATGTCATGACCCCGGGTTGTTTTTTCCCAGCAGATGCTGTAGATTACACAAATATATTTCGCATTTAAAGAAAAATACTGACATTAATCTTTTATCATATTTCAAATTGGTTTTCGTGTGGTATCTTATGAAAGATAAGTAAGTATTAATTAATGCACTTGTAACTTATTTTAAAACATCGTTTTAAGGTTTCGTAAAACTCAAGAAATAGTTTGGGTTGGCATATCAACTTCATTGGGTTAGTTCATGCCGACAAGATTTTTATTGCTGTTAATATTTTGTGTGCGTTAATGTCTTAATTTTGAGCCCTGACCACCGCTTTACCGGTGGTAGAGAAAAATGACGTAATACCCAGCCACCGGTTGAACGGGGGGTAAACACTTGTAACTATTTTTATATCTACCGTGAAATATTACATAGCAATTATTTGCGAATTTTGACTCAGGGAGTCAGACAGAAAGTTTAAAATTGTCCAGGAACACAGTGCTCAAAGGATTAAGGCCTACAAGATTTTTATTGCTGGTATAAAAACTTTCCAAATATATATTGCTTGTAATATTTTTTCTTCAAAATTGTATTGCTAGTAATAATGTATTGCTTGTAATATTTTTTCTTTAAAAATTCATTGCTGGTATTAAAACTTTTTTTACACTTTCATAGGGTTTTGACACCAGTCTGGGGGTTGACTATTTGCCCATATTTGAGACCCTAACATGTGCTACCACCCCGGATCAGCGTGGACCTGGGAACATCAGCAATAAAGAGGTAGTTCCACGCTCCTAAAAACCTCCTGACGAGAGGACTTGCTGTTGGACGTAGTTTATTGTCTTACCCAGGACGCTTCATTTAACGCAGAGGTGCAGTCGGCGTATTCTAAAGTCCCAGCCGGCAGGGCACATGAATTAGTTTATATGATTTTTGTCAAAGAACAATTGTTTTAATATTTTAACATGCATATATCATTTTCTAGAAAATGCCAAAAACTCATGCAATCTATATAGATTACTATGCTTGTGCTAATGTTAGTAGTTTCCTTATGAGGAAAAATTTGGCATTCATTTGCCGAGCAGCTGGTGTAACTATATGTTGAAATTTATATAATATTTCTGTTAAACATTTTCAGGAAAGTTAACGCTCTTTCTATTATTAAAACCGGATTAATTATCAAGCATGTCCCTGAAGAAATATTGAATGTCAGTATCTTGATTATGTCATTGTTTTCTCTCCATGTCATATGTGATATCTATTTTAGTTGTTAGTGTTGTTGATAGACCTCTAGTGATGTGTTATCTGTTATGTGGTACATTTCCTTATTTGTGATTCTATAGCGCCAGTCCAATTTACATGATTTGTACAAGGCTGAGACATACAGGTTTTAGTCACTCAAAGTCCTATTTAAACCATTGATCTGAGAAAGATTATTACAGATTAATAATAAGAAAATTAAAATAAATTATAATTATCCCACACAAACTATAATAATCTTATATTTATAAGCTTGTTGACTGGTTACGCAAGATAAAGATTCCTATCTTTAAGTCATGTGCTCCTCAACCATTACTCTGCCCACTCGTGAATATATATGCCTAGGTTGCATGTGCGTATGCTGATTCCGTAGTGTCAATATTTACAAGTGAATAAAGCCATGAATCAAAGAGGAAACAGGGTGTGACGCCATTGTCTCGGGTCGGATCGGATTACACTTTAGTATTCGAAGAGGTGAGGTGATAAATTACATCGAGGCTTTGGTCTGTCGCTACCATCGTCACCACGACTGCCATTGTTGCAGATACTTCATGAGACTGTCCCTGTTAGAAAAGAGAAATTCTGTATGCAAGTCTCGGAAAAAAGAAACTGTTTACCTCTGAAGAATTAATAACACCATCACACACACACACACACACATACAAAGAGAGAGAGAGAGAGATAGAGAGAGAGAGGAGTGTAAGGCCACATCATGTTGAAACACCGGTTCCCCTACGATAACCAAAGTTAAGCAACGTCGAACCTGATCTGTACCTAGATGGGTGACCGTTTAGGAATAACACGTGCTGTAAGCTTAGATGTGCTGGTGGTGTAATGGATAATAATTCAGAATCGGAGAGCCGAGTTCTAATAGCAGCTTGGTCTATTATATTCACATTAGCGCAAATACTATTAGGAAAGGTATGAATCCACCTCTCCCTCCCAACTATGGATTAATTAGTAAGACTTGCATCATTAACAAAACACACACGCACACACACACACACACACACACACACACACACACATATATATATATATATATATATATATATATATATATCGTTTTCGACGTATGAATGTCTTTTTATTTAAGTTTCTTTATGCTTTTATGTCTCGTATGAGACAACAATCCTGAACGTAGAACTGAACCAAAAGAGTACCCACACAGAAAATTTGTTTAGAATGATGAAGGCTTGTGTAGAATCAATCACACTTTATGAAGTACCAAATACAGTCCTGGTCCAACGTGTGACAAAATCTCCCCCAAAAGGTTCTGAATTCAAAGTTTTCTTCTAGACCAGTTGCCATCCAAGGTTATAAAAACTAGTCGCACCTGCTATTTTATGCATAAAAGGGGAGGAAAAGATTCATACTTTTCTCAATGGGATTAGCCAGTAAATGAATATCTAAAAACAAAACAATGACAAAGGTCCCTATATACATATGTCCGCGAATCCTTCGTTTGTGAGGTCTTAAGTTTAAATGTTATAGTAGACACAGTTAAATGTACACTCCAAGATACAATCTGAAAATACTTTGGTCTGGATGTCTGATACAAAATAAGTTAAAATCTCCATATAAACATGTATCCAAAAGTCCATCGTTATAACTCATCACAGAAACTCATAACAAGGGTTCAAAATATCCTCTTGCTTCTACATTCTCATGCACACGTCGGATCATTGATTGGCGTATCCCTTCAAATACTCCCACTCGGTGCCGAATGGTTTTGCAAGCCACAATTACACGTCAATGAAGCGTCTCTGTATTATTAAAGTCTTTTGCACAAAGCAATGGGTTTAGTTTGTCCCACAGATAAAAATCCAAAAGGTTGAGGTCGCAGAAACGTGCAGGCCATGGAACCATTCCTCCCCTATCTATTCCGCTTTCATGTCATATGTCAGTCATTGCATCGCGAACAATATGGCTAAAATGTGCAAGAGCCCCATCAATCATGAAACAATATGAGTCTTCGTAGAAGCAGGCGTACATTCTCTAGCAGGTCTCGAAATAAGTTCGAAAATAATGTCCCTGTAAATAGCTCCTATATGATGTGCTGGGAGAACATATGGACCTACCAGACAGTCAACTACAATTACAGCCCACACATTAACCGTAAACGAATACTGGTTTCTATCCTGTATTGTACCACGAGGACAACGATCCGGCTACAAATGTTTGTTATTCCGTCTCTTCCAAATGTTGCCTCATCCATAAGCAAGACTGAAGAAACAAACAACGGATTGGCAGTTTGAGAAATAAACCATCGACAAATCTTATCCTAAAGATGATTAATTAGAGGGCGAAAGACACTGCACTTTTCTTTAATTAGAGAGAAAATGTATTAAAAGATTTATAGTCAAATTATCATATTAGGTACTAAATAAAAAATCATTTTTCAATATTAAATATATTTCCGAAAGCCAATCGTTGCATCCCAACACAGCAAACTCTTAATAAATATTCGAAATATCCTCCGCTTGATTCTACAGACACATACACCCTTTCAAGTAATTCCACATAGTGTCGAATGGTTTCGCAGGGCCAAATGACACGTTGATGAAGCATCTCTGCATTATTAATGTCTGCTGCATAAACAAATTGTGGCCCCACAGATAAAAATTCAAAGGATTACTTTTTGGGGGATCGTGCAGGCCACTGAACCGATCCTCCCCTACCTATCCATATTTCATATTTCAGATGTGCATCGCCAACAATGTGACCAAAATATGCTGCAGCTCCATCATGCATGAACCACATACGTCTTCATATTAACAAGGGCACATTCTCTAGCAGGTCTAGAAGTGTATTCAAAATAATAAGGGGTCATGTTTGGCACTGCTATGTAGGAAAATGGCGTTTATGAGATTTGCTTTGGTGCTCATGGAAATGTTAAGATGTTCTTTTAAGATTTTTACAAATACTCCATGTTAATTTTTCTTAACCACAGATCATAGAATCTCTTCTTTATGCTCTAAACTTATGATGTTCTGCTATAATTAGAACGTACAGCGAACATTAAGAAAACTTGTTTCAAACTTCTCGATAGGAACCACTTCCGAAAATCAGATCAAATATACACACACCATAATTCTTTTTAACCCCTCTCGGTTGAAGCAGAAAACTTCATCACAATATCGCGTGTGTGTGTATGTGTGAAAGAGAATGGGTGTGTCTGTGTGATGATCAATGTCAGGTGCATAGTCTTTCTTATATTAAGCTTAGCATGCGTACGCATAAACCTGTATATTAGTATTTTTGACTACATTTAGATGTTGTTTGCATTTATTCATGTAGTAGTCTTTTCAACGTTGTAGAAAATGATAGTTCCATCATATAGTGAGTAGATTGTTTTTCATTCTCCTTTCTGCTAATTTACAAGTCTTTCTTATATTAAGCTTAGCATGCGTACGCATAAACCTGTATATTAGTATTTTTGACTACATTTAGATGTTGTTTGCATTTATTCATGTAGTAGTCTTCTCAACGTTGTAGAAAAATGATAGTTCCATCATATAGTGAGTAGATTGTTTTCCTTCTCCTTTCTGCTAATTTACAAGTCTTTCTTATATTAAGCTTATCATGCGTACGCATAAACCTGTATATTAGTATTTTTGACTACATTTAGATGTTGTTTGCATTTATTCATGTAGTAGTCTTCTCAACGTTGTAGAAAAATGATAGTTCCATCATATAGTGAGTAGATTGTTTTCCCTTCTCCTTTCTGCTAATTTACAAGTCTTTCTTAGATTAAGCTTAGCATGCGTACGCATAAACCTGTATATTAGTATTTTTGACTACATTTTATGTTGTTTTATTATTCATGTTGTTTTGTAGAAAAATGATTTCCATTCATGTAGTAGATTGTCTTCTCCTTTCAACGTTGTAGAAAATAAACCTGATATTAGTTTTTTTGACCATCATATTCATGTAGTAGTCTTCTCAACGTTGTAGAAAAATGATAGTTCCATTATAGTTTTGTTTTCTCCTTTCTGCTAATTTACAAGTCTTTCTTAGATTAAGTTTAGCATGCGTACGCATAAACCTGTATATTAGTATTTTGACTACATTTAGATGTTGTTTGCATTTATTCATGTAGTAGTCTTCTCAACGTTGTAGAAAATGATAGTTCCATCATATAGTGAGTAGATTGTTTTCCTTCTCCCTTTCTGCTAATTTACAAGTCTTTCTTAGATTAAGCTTAGCATGCGTACGCATAAACCTGTATATTAGTATTTTTGACTACATTTAGATGTTGTTTGCATTTATTCATGTAGTAGTCTTCTCAACGTTGTAGAAAATGATAGTTCCATCATATAGTGAGTAGATTGTTTCCTTCTCCTTTCTGCTAATTTACAAGTCTTTCTTATATTAAACTTTAGCATGCGTACGCATAAACCTGTATATTAGTATTTTTGACTACATTTAGATGTTGTTTGCATTTATTCATGTAGTAGTCTTCTCAACGTTGTAGAAAAATGATAGTTCCATCAGTAGATTGTTTTCCTTCCTTTCTGATTTACAAGTCTTTTTTATATTGTTTTTTGCGTCTCCTGTATATTAGTATTTTGACTAATTTAGATGTTGTTTGTATTTATTCATGTAGTAGTCTTCTCAACGTTGTAGAAAAATGATAGTTCCATCATATAGTGAGTAGATTGTTTTTTTTTTCTGCTAATTTACAAGTCTTTCTTAATTTTAGCAAAGCATAAACCTGTATATTAGTATTTTTGACTACATTTAGATGTTGTTTGCATTTATTCATGTAGTAGTCTTCTCAACGTTGTAGAAAAATGATAGTTCCATCCTTATATATGGTAGATTGTTTTCCTTCTCCTTTCTGCTAATTTACAAGTCTTTCTTAGATTAAGCTTAGCATGCGTACGCATAAACCTGTATATTAGTATTTTTGACTACATTTAGGATGTTGTTTGCATTTATTCATGTAGTAGTCTTCTCAACGTTGTAGAAAATGATAGTTCCATCATATAGTGAGTTTGTTTTCCTTCTCCTTTCTGCTAATTTACAAGTCTTTCTTAGATTAAGCTTAGCATGCGTACGCATAAACCTGTATATTAGTATTTTTGACTACATTTAGATGTTGTTTGCATTTATTCATGTAGTAGTCTTCTCAACGTTGTAGAAAATGATAGTTCCATCATATAGTGAGTAGATTGTTTTCCTTCTCCTTTCTGCTAATTTACAAGTCTTTCTTAGATTAAGCTTAGCATGCGTACGCATAAACCTGTATATTAGTATTTTTGACTACATTTAGATGTTGTTTGCATTTATTCATGTAGTAGTCTTCTCAACGTTGTAGAAAATGATAGTTCCATCATATAGTGAGTAGATTGTTTTCCTTCTCCTTTCTGCTAATTTACAAGTCTTTCTTAGATTAAGCTTAGCATGCGTACGCATAAACCTGTATATTAGTATTTTGACTACATTTTAGATGTTGTTTGCATTTATTCATGTAGTAGTCTTCTCAACGTTGTAGAAAAATGATAGTTCCATCATATAGTGAGTAGATTGTTTCCTTCTCCTTTCTGCTAATTTACAAGTCTTTCTTATATTAGCATGCGTACGCATAAACCTGTATATTAGTATTTTGACTACATTTAGATGTTGTTTGCATTTATTCATGTAGTAGTCTTCTCAACGTTGTAGAAAATGAGTTCCATTACGCTAATAACCCTGATATTAGTTTTTATACTACCTAGTAGCAGTCTTCAACGTTGTATATTAGTGAGTAGATTTTTCCTTTCTGCTAATTTACAAGTCTTTCTTAGATTAAGTTTAGCATGCGTTTA